CGGCCTTTTCTCTGAATTGGTGAGGGCCCCGGGCTGCAGTTTCAGCTCTCGGAGAGGAGTTCTCATAGCTGGTTTTCCCTGAGAGAGAAAGCGAGTGTGAGGAAACCTGGCTCAAGCAAGCGCGCCCCTCCTCTCTCCGGGAAATGTCCCCCCCCCCCCCCCCCCCCCCCCGCAACCGCCGGGCCGCGGGGCCAACAAAGCATCCCGCTGCCCGGCTCCGATGGACTTCACCGGCGCCACGCCCTGGTACTGCCCTCTCCGCGGGCGTTCTCTCCTCACCGGTTGGGGCGAAGGCGACAAGCCGAGATTCAGTGTCTTAACCCTCCACATCTTCAATTTGATCACTTTTCTGACTAAATCGACTTAGTCACATTGACCCGCCGACGCCGACTCAATTTGAACCCGATACGCGCTTCCGGATTGGCTGTGGGGCCGCAGTACGTCGCGGGGGGGCGGGAACTGCGTTCGCCACGCCCCCAGGTCTCTACGCACTTAATCTAACGCCTGTTCTTAGGCTACTGGCATCAGGGTTGCGTGTCCTCCTGTCAGGGACACCGTGGGCAGCTGGAAAGTCAAGGAATCCTGTTTCAGTAGCTCTTTTCTCTCAGTTACCGAGTGAACGGCACTTCACGCAGGGTTGGGCTGTCCAGGTGTAGATGCCAGATCCATAGGTGCCCCACTTTGGCCTTCAGGTAAATGCCTCTTAAGAATTTTTGGGCCTTTCTTATATCTAACCTTAGAGCCTGCAACAAGATTACTAGAATAACAGCGGACATGTACTGTACACTTATGATGACCGTGGCACTCTTTTAAAGTGCTTGCTATATCATTAACTCATTCATTTTATACATAAAAAAAAATGAGTCAAAGATAATATAATTTGCACAACATACTACGAACACAGGCTTCTGTCTACTGAATCCCTCTGTAGTTAAACAGGGTCTCACTATGCAGCCTTGGCTGGTGTGGAGCTCAAACTCAGAGATGTGCCTGCCTCTGCTTCCTGAGTGCTAGAATTAAAAGTAGGTGGCATTGGGCCTGGCAGTGGTAGCACTTCTTTAATCCCAGCACTTGGGGAGGCAGAGGCAGGTGGATCTCTGTTGAGTTCAAGGCCAGCCTGGTCTACAAGAGCTAGTTCCAGGACAGCTAGGACTGTTACACAGAGAAACCCTGTCTCAAAAAAACAAAACAAAACAAAACAAAAAAAAAACCCAAAAAAGTAGGTGGCATATCAACTGGAATTTATTAATCCATTTTTTATTAATAGCTGCACGTTTTGTTGTTTGAGATTGAACCTCAATACATAGCACAAGGTGGCCTCAAATTTGCTTCTGCCTCCAAATCAAATTTTTGTTTATCTTGTATCAGGGTCTTGCTATATGGGTTAGGCTGGCCCTGAACTCCCCATCATCCTGTCTCAACCTTCCAATTGGCTGGGACCACAAAGCCTAAAAAAGGTGAGAGTATTCAAGTTAATCATTGATGGCACCATGTTGAAGCAGGGTTTTGCCAGCCTCTTCACTAGCTCCAGTCCTGCCTTCAGCCTCTTGAGTGCTGAGAAGTCTTAATTCATGGAGAGAAGGAAGCAAACCAAGAGGAGCTTTTGGTTTTGTTTTAAAACAAGGTTTCGGGGCTGGAGAGATGGCTCAGCGGTTAAGAGCATTGCCTGCTCTTCCAAAGGTCCTGAGTTCAATTCCCAGCAACCACATGGTGGCTCACAACCATCTGTAATGAGGTCTGGTGCCCTCTTCTGGCCTGCAGGCAGACTCAAAAACAGAATATTGTATACATAATAAATAAATATTAAAAAAAAAAAAAAAACAAGGTTTCTTTGTGTAACAGCCCTGGCTGTCCTGGAAACAGGTTGGCCTTGAACTCAGAGATCTACCTGCCTCTGTCTCCCAAATGCTGGGATTAAAAGCACGTGGCACCACTACCTGACTTCTCTCTCTCTCTGAGACAGGGTCTCTCTGTGTAACTCTTTGTTTCACATGCATGCCTGGTGCTATTGGAGGTTACAAGAGGGTGCTGGAGCAAGACAGAGTTACAAGAGGTTGTAAACTGCCTGATGTGGGTACTGGGAACCAAACTCACATCCTTTGAAAGAGTAGCAAGCACTTAGCCACGGAGGTACATTTTTTTATATGGTCAAGACATTTTCTTTTATAGCATTTGGATTCCCATCTAAAGGTATGAGATAGACCCTCATGCAAACAAACTGGCCTCAAACTCAGTATGATCCCAGGCTAGCTTGACCTTCAAGTGTCCTCCTACCTCCAATCCCTGGATGCTGAAATTACAGGTATGTGCCACCACATCTGGCCTTTTTAGGTTTCTTTTTTCTTTCTTAAAATATTTATTATGTATACAATATTCTGTCTGTGTGCATATCTGCAGGCCAGAAGAGGCAGCAAACCTCACTACAGATGGTTGTAAGCCACCATGTGGTTGCTGGGAATTGAACTCAGGACCTTTGGAAGTGCAGGCAATGCTCTTAACCGCTGAGCCATCTCTCCAGCCCTTAGGTTTCTTTTTCTATCTTTTATTATTATTTTTTCTTTTTGATAAAGGTTTTCTCTTTGTTACAGTCTTGGCTGTCCTGAAACTCATTTTGTAGACCAGGCTGGCCTCAAACTCACTAAGATCCACCTGCCTCTGCCTCCTGAGCACTGGAATTAAAGGTGTACACCACCATGCCATACTTTTTAGGTTTCTTGGAGTTTTGTACTGGAATGCACTAGGCAGCATAGGATGGCCTCAACACTCCCAATTATCCTTCTGCCTTTATCTCCCAAGTGCTTGAGTCACAGATATGAGACATCACAGCTGGTTCTCACAGGCAACACATGACATTTATCTCTAAGCTATCTAACATGACCTACAAAAGGGACCCAGTGACATATCTATCATTTCCTCTGTTCATTGTGCTACTGTGATCAGATGAACTGATAGTAGTAGCCCTGTGCTAGGTACACAGTATCGTGTAATCTACTGCCCTTGTCCTTATTCTGTTTTTACTTTGTATATGATAGGGTTTCATAGTCAGTTCAAGTTGAAGTTGACCTCAAACTATGTGGATGACCTTGATTCTCACCTAGCATCCATAAGGCCCCAGGTTTGATCCCTAGGATCACAAAACCACTGAATCTTAAACTAAAGGTGTTAGGAGCCAGGCCAATTTAAGGTTTTCCCTGAGGCCTGGTGTATGAGGAGGAACACAGTTCAAAACCAGGAATATGCTTAGCAGAGCCAATAATGGTCCAGGGCCAGGGCCTTGGAGGAGCTGTTGCTTTATATCCCGACAACCAACTCTTTCCCCTAAAAGGCTGTGGCTACCAGTCCCAAGGCTGCTGTGTGCCCCACCTGTGAGGATCTTGTGTTCCCTTTGCGCAACACTGCTTGATTAGCATCCTGCTTACTTGGCTCCACTACAGATAGTTTTCTGCTGACTCTGGTCCATTTCTCTGAAAATTACATATGAGAGCCGGGCGGTGGTGGCGCACGCCTGTAATCCCAGCACTTGGGAGGCAGAGGCAGGCGGATCTCTGTGAGTTCGAGGCCAGCCTGGTCTACAAAGGGAGTTCCAGGACAGGCTCCAAAGCTACAGAGAAACCCTGTCTCGAAAAACCAAAAAAGAAAAAATATATATATATAAGATGCTGTCCTTAATAAACTCGCTTGGTGTGGCTTGAGGCCCAGCTTGTGTAAGACCTGATCCCAAACTTTCCTTCTTTACTTTCTGAATCCCTGGTTCTCTGCTGGTCCAGGTCAAAAGGGGAAATAAACAAACAAAAAACAACAAACTCTGAACCTTGAACTGTATGAAAAAAATGATCAGTTTAATAATGTTTGTGTCCTTTTAGGAGGCTTTGTTTTGGAATAGATTTAGGAGGCTCTCATGTTTTCTAGAGAAGACATAATCCACCCATGCTGAAGTTTCTATTTTCTTCCTCACATTAGGCAACTGTTAGATTCACTTTCTAGTTTTTAAAAATTGTATTTATTGAAGAGTAGCTTCCAGATTACATTTTCTTTTTTTAAAGACTTATTTATTAATTATGTATACAGTGTTCTGTCTGCATGTATGTTGTAGGCCAGAAAAGAGCACCAGATCTCATTACAGATGGTTGTTGAAATTGAACTCAGGACCTCTCTCAGGACCTCTGAAAAAACAGTCAGTGCTTTTAACCTCTGAGCCATCTATCCAGCCTTTTTTTTAAACTTTTAATTTATTTTTATTTATTTATTTTTTTGTTTTTTAAAGACAGGGTTTCTCTGTGTAACAGCCCTAGCTGTCCTGGAACTCGCTCTTGTAGACCAGGCTGGCTTCAAACTCACAGAGATCTGCCTGTCTCTGCCTCCTGAGTGCTGGGATTAAAGGCGTGCGCCACCACCGCCCAGGTACATTCATCTATTTATTTATTTCTTTGGGGAATTGCATACATGTTGTATCTTTCCTTCTCCCATGGGAGTCTTGGCTTCACACCAAGTCCCTTACCCACTGGACCATTTTGCCCTTTTTCTTGAGATAGGATTTCAGTACGCAGCCTGGCTGTCCTGGAACTCACTGTGTAGACCAGGCAAAAGTCAGAGATTTACCTGCCTTGTTGGGTGCTGGACTTAAAGGCATGTGCCATCATGCCTGGCATATAAAATTAATTTTAAATTATTTTTATGTGCCTGTGTGGGTATGTTTATGTATGTGGGTATTCACTCTAAGGAAGCCAGAGGTGTGGGCTCTCCTTGGAGCTGGATTTATAGGAATTTGTGAGGTCCCCACTTTGAGTGCTAAAAACTCAACTGAGTCCTCTGCAAAAGCAATGATCATTCTCAACATTGAGCCATCTCTCCAACACCTATATCGTTCATTGGAGGGGGGGTGTTTCCTCTGTGTAACAGCCATGGCTGTCATGGAACTTGCTCTGTATACCAGGCTGGCCTCGAACTCACAGAGATCTTCCTGCCTCTGCCTCCCAAATGCTAGGATTAAAGCTGTGCACCACCACCACCTGGCAGGTCATATTTTTAACTGCAAATTTATTCAGGTGTTGAAATGCCAGTTTTTGCAATCTGTAAAAAACATTCACGTTGCTTCTGACTAGTTTGTTAAACATATAATTAGCACCTCGGGATCTCACAAAGTGTCATTATTGCCCAAGAAAGGAAGTATCGCAGAAAAACATATAGATGGTAAAGTTTAAGAAGCCTTTGTTTGGCAGCTTAAGGAAAGTACTGGAGAAGTGAAATAAAGGTCACCGCCTTGGCCTGCGATTGAGAGGTGGGCTGTATGATAGGAAAGCATTAAGGACAGTTTTGGCTATCAGCTGCAGAATGCCTAAGATCTAAACTCTGGCCCAATACCTACAATAGAATAGTAAGGGACAACAAAGAAAAAACTGGATCCTCAAGGTGGTCATACTGAGTTGGTAGTAAAAATCCTCAGGTTTCCAGCTGGCCCCCAAGCTACAGTAGAGAATCAGCGGAGATGGTGTGGACCAAGGACTCCAGATCACAGTCAAAGTCCTTGAAGGGCATGGACTCCAATGGACTGGTATTTTGTGTCTCCATGACAAGATCCACTGGCTGCTTCTTTAGGAGCTCAGGGTCAAAGGCCACACCCCGAAAGAAAGGGTGGCCCTGGAAGTGATGCAGATGACGTAGGCGGTACAGAGGATTCTGGCATAAGAGCTGAAGGAGAACAGAAGGAGACTGGGCTAAGAAAGGCTAAACAGAGGCGAGAGGGAGCAAACAGTCTATGTAGCTATGGAAGGCAGGAAGATTTGTGAAAGAGAAGCATGGTGGTTGGAGAGAGTGGGAGGATTGGTGGGGATGAAGGAGATGAACCTGCAGATAAGGTAGAACTGGCCCGTGCTCTTCAAAAGGACCTTCTCTTCTGGTGAGAAAAGGATTTAGCGGCAGAAACTCAGGAATGAGATCTGCAGTACCAGTTACAGGGGAAATGGGTAGTTGGAGCATCTCAACCCTCATCAGACAGAAGAGCTGGGAAATCACTTCAATGGGCTTGGGAGTCTAAAAGGAAAGTAGTTTGTACCCTCACCTCATGGAGCAGGAGTGAGAACTCCTGAGTGGCAGAAGCTGGCATCTCTGATTTACAGTGGGTCACACTTGCCAACATGGCCACATGATCTCTCTCTGCAGCCACTGGGAACTGCATTAAAAGGGTAGGGGGCAGGAAGAAGACAAGGCTTTCTAAGGTCTTTTTCCCACCAAGTAAAGCTCTCTTCCCTGCTCAGCACCACTACTGTTCTCTCACCTTGCCAGTTGCCAGACAGAAAAGCAACACTCCCAGGGACCACCAGTCAGCAGTGTGGTTGTAAGGCCCACCACTTAGGACCTCTGGGGCTATGGTATGAAAGGGGCTTGTCACTCACTTCCCTAGGTGCTCCTCCCCACCAGAGCTTTAGCTGCTCTCTCACCCATGTACTGAAGAGTGCCACAGATAGTGTAGGCTCGTGCTCCCTGGGACAGACGACGAGACAGACCAAAGTCTGTCAGTTTCAGGTGGCCTATGGAATAAGGAGACAGTGTTTTGACCTACGTCTTTTTTTGCAGAAGTACCATTCATCCTGAGACTGGAGGAGAAGACATACCTCGCTCATCCAGAAGGATATTCTCCATCTGAAATCACGGGCGAAAGGACATTATCTTACTCTTTCCACTGACTCTGATTTGGGTTTTCCATTGTTATTTTTGACATAGGGTCTCGTTACGTAGCCCAGACTAGCTGGGAATCTGGTACATATACCAGGCTAGCCTCAAACTTGTAGCATTCCTCCTGCCCCCACCCCCAACAGTGCTGGGTATAGGCAGGTATGACCACACCTGGCTTTCTTTCGGTCCACTCAGCATTCAAACCTATCCTTGGAGGACCCATACCTAAAATCCTTCGCATCCATAGGAACCCAAATAAACTGTCTCTGCTCCCCAGGGCCTTCTCAGACCTGTTGGAACTTCTTATTGAGGTTCTTCCTCAGACTAAGAAAAAAGACTTAACTCTACCTTTACATCCCGATGGATGATACCCAAGTCATGGAGATAGCCTGTGGAGAACGGTGAGCATGGGTGTATGTAAAGTCTCGTCTATGCCAGTTTCTATAGCCTCCATCCCATCTCTCCCTGACTTCCAGAATTGAATATCAATCCTGTTTTCCCCTCCCCACCAACTTAATTCTTCCCTTTCTATTTCCTTTACCACTTTTTCACTTACACAGCACAAGGACCAGTTCAGCAGCAAAGAGACGGATAGAAGCTTCTGGAAAACCACCAACAGCAGACCACAGGGAGTAGAGATCCATGCTGCAGTAGCTACACACTGCAAAGCGCCAGAAGTCTAGGCAATATCTGAGATCTACAATGCCTGGGCTCAAGGCATTATAGACCTCCTGCCCAAACTAATCCCGCCAGCCTTTCCCCTCTTCTTTCGGATTACAGAAATACTATTCTGCAAAGCAGAATAGCGTCAGATTAGGAGAATGGTCTGTGGGCCTTTGTGGGTGAAGACAAAACCCAGTCCACTCACTAATGAAGAGGTGTCGCTTCCCCTGCCAGCTGTCCCCCAAGCTGTGTACAAAAGGATGGTTGATCTGTCGCTAGAGACAAAGAAAACAGCAAGTTAGGAAAGAACAAGCTTATTGCTGATTAAGAGCAGCCAAGAAATCAGGTGTTGCCTTGTGCTGAAATGAAGTGCTGCTTCACCTGAGAGCTCATTTGGGACTACCTGAGAACCCTGGAGCCAGCACACTGCTAAGGAGAGTTCCCTGGCAGAACCTGCAGTATCTACACCTAAGAACGACTTTCTCAGGACTTATTTTGGTGCTACATTGCACCAAGGTGGAAACATGAGGAAAGTAGAGCCAAGAAAAGCAGGTAAGTTGGACTTTCTCCACCAGCAATTTAGTTCTTCCAGCAATGCTTTCAGAATTCTGCATACCTGGATGCTAACCTCCTCTTTGCACTGCCTCAGGGTATCCCTCTGTAGGACTTTTACTTTGGGCACCACCTACAAATGGAGAGGCATAACTCGTGGAAAATAATGCTGTTCAATTTATTCCTCCTAATCTCTGAAACTAATAGGTTGTAAACAGTAAGTACTGGGTGACTCCTACCTTCACAGCAAATACAGCTTTTTGGGCACAATCTAATACTTTCAGGACAGTTCCAAAAGACCCTTTAGCCACAAGGCCTAAAATCTGAACAAAAAGAAAAAAAAAGAGGGCACCTGAGACTGGCTGCTTCTAAATTCCTCCCAGACACACTTCCTGGGACTCCAATGACCCTACCTGCAGCGTCTGCTGCCCCCTAACAGGCCTCATGGGATACTCTGGTAGGAAGAGGCTGATGAACTGAGGCACTGGCCACTCAGACAGAGGCTTCTCTAGTTGCAGTGGGGCTGGCTGGAGGGGCTCCTGATGTAGGCACTGATGCCTCTGTAGTCCCCTTAGTTCTTCCACTCCTGACCTGATGGCCCCTATACCACAGAAGAGGCTCTTCCAGCCTCGGGCCCAGGGACCCTGGATGTTGCCACCCTGCTGAGAAGGGAACTATTCTAAGCCTGCTCATGAGGCACTGCAGGTTCTACCCATCTTAACAGGTACTCCTTCTGAAGTCTTAACCTCTAAAGCAGTGGTTCAACTTTCCTAACGCTACAGGAAACTTTGCTAACTTAATACAGTTCCTCATGTTATAGTGATCCCCAACCATAAAATTATTTTCACTGCTATTTAATAAGTGTAATATTGCTACTATTATAGGTTGTAATCTAAATATCTGAAATGCAGATTATCTAATGTGACCTCAAGGAAAGGGCTGTTCTACCCCAAAGGGTCTTAACCCATAGGTTGAGAACCACTGCTTTAGAGGGAAGGAAAATTCCCAGGCCTTGTGATGTGACCTAGATTTCCTCAATGTATTTCAAAATCTTGATGACAATAACAGTTTTGTCTTCCCTATGACAAACCAGGAATACAATCTGTGCCTGAGTGGGGCTATTCACATGGCCTCTATGCCCAGACCCCCTACACTGGCTGTCACTGACAGGCTCCTAACTAGGCACTTTCTGGCCTCAGGCCCATACCTCGTTCACTTCCCATTCATAGGCAGCAAGAGCCCCATACCCTACCTTCTGAGGAGCAGATACTCGGGTGTGTTGCCCCTGACGACAGCTCACTGCTCCCATCCCCAGCCTCTGCCTCCTCTCCTTCCGCTAAATCTGCTGTCCCAGTTACATAAGCAATTCCTCTCTCTCTGATGCTGTAGTACCCAGGAGCCCCGCCTCTTCCAGTGTACATAGACCCAATCAGCTTTAGGTGAGTATTGTACCAGGGCTGGGAAGTATCTATTGTATGACTTCAAAGCAATGGAGAATGGCTACAGTTATATTACAGTGGCAGTTAAAATATGGGTGGGTTAGTGAGGAGGGAAGGACACAGACAATTTGAACGTTTTTACTCAATACAACTGAAAAAAAGAGAGAAGCCAGCATCAAATTTAAAATATTTTTTTTTCTTTAAATCTTTTTTTTTTCTCCATTCTCCAGGGGATTCCCCAGGGGGGAAAGGAAGGTACCCATGGCCAGCCCTGGCTCCTAATGCCATCCTCCCAAGTGAACACAGATTGGGAAGCTGACCCCTCCCCCAATAGTAACACCTTTCATACAACAAGGCAGTGGAGTGAGGCACAGAGGATCAGACCCTCCCCTCAGCTTACTGGCACAAAGGGAGAGCAATTACACTTAGAAATATATATATATATATACACTATATATATATATGTCTGTTTATAAAAATTTATCATACTTGATCAAAACTATCCCCCCACCCTTTCTTTTGCCCCCAAGAGTAGGATACTAGGCTTGAACACACTCTATAGGCCTTCTGGTTCTCTTGCCTTTCTGGCCCTGGGACTAATAAGCATGAGGGAATTTAGCACTTTTGTCCACCATGCCCTGCAGGGACAGGCCAGTTGTTGAAGTGTCTCTCTCGACTCCCTATAAGCTCCAAAGCCCCACAAATCCCGTGGGATGAGGGGAAGCTCTGTCCACCCTCAAGTCCCTGGATCCTGAACCAGAGTCAGATTCGATACTGTAGTCACTTGGATCTCTGGATCACTTGCGCCTGCTGAAGAGGGATTTCTTGCCAGGGTTCTTGTCACCCACACTTAGACCAATAAGGAGCCGTGCTTTCTCCTCTTCCTGCTGTTGCATGTTCAGGTCCGATTTCGTCTCTAGCTTTCCCCGGACCTCAGACCCTGTAGCAGGTTTCAACCTTAACTTTTCTTTGATTACCTGGCAAGTGGAAAGAAGTAAATGGAAAGGCAAAAATATTAGTGGAAAGGCCAAACAATTCAAAGTGAACCAATTCAAAAATTTATTAAATTTACATGCAAAGCACAAGGGGGCAGTTCAAAATATATAAATAATAAAGTATATAAATAATGGTTTCTGCTTTCAAGAAGCTTACAATCTAATCAGAATCCCTAAAGCTGAGGTTGTAGCAGCCCTTAGTTCCCTCAAATTTGATAGTTAACATGAAATAAAACAGCAAATATTTGATCATATTGTGGCAATGTCAAGGACAAAATAAGTCATTTTATCTGCCCCTTTCTTGGCTATCTTTTAATATAGCATAAAACAAAATGCCCCTAAGAAGGCAATTTGCTTGCCAGTCCCTGCTAACGAAACAGCCATGAGCCCTGGCGAGATACCTGGGCAACCAGAGCTTTTCGGCTGTCCCTTTTGACAGCCATAGCAAAGTCCAGCCACGTCCACGTGTTGTTGTGGTACTCCAGACAGGGTAGCACCAAGTTAAGGTCACCCCAGTCCACACTGTTCTTCTCACCCTGCAAAAGGAAAAGGAGGAAGGAAAAATTACATCAGCTGCCATCTTGAATCTAAGACAGTACTCGGAGTATAATTCCTATGACAGCAACCTACAGATAAAGACTAGATACAGACTGGATTTCCCCTACCTCAGCCTGGTATTGGTGCTGACTACTGCAGGAAGCAGAAGCAAGAGCAGGGTTGTCATCATGGCTCACTTTCACAGGAAGCCTGGTTGTCACTCTCTATCATCTTTAGTTCCCTTCCTACTCTGTTCTACAAAGTGCTGGGATGGGACATACCTTATAACTGACGCACAGTGGAACTTGTGGGATTTTTATGTATATGAAGGAGTTGTTCATGGCAGCTCGCTCTTTCATCTTGTCAATATCATCAACTGGGTGCTAGGAAAGACAAGAAAGGAGTATAAGCCTCTAAAACCAGAAGAAATCAAATATCCTAAATATTACTTCCATCTTCTCAACCTTGGAATAAATACAAAAGAAAAAGACCCAGCCAGGTCCAACAGCTCTGGCTGCCCTGGAACTTACTCTGTAGACCAGGCTACAAAAAAAGATCCACCTGCTTCTGCCGCCTAAGTGCTGGGATTAAAAGCACGTACCGCTACTGCCTTGCTAAAAAAAAAAACCTTTTAAGCATATTAAAATGTTTTTATTTTTGATTTTGAGGGCTTCTTTTGCGAGACAGGATTCATGTGGTCCAGGATGCCCTTGAACTCATGATGTTCCGACTCCTGTCTCCCAAGTGTTATGATTATAGAGTGCATTACCACAATCAGTTTCTCTGATTTTTCAGTCTTTAGGGACATGTGCCATACCTCAGGTAATTTGCGAAATGATCTTCTGACCCCAGAACTCCGAGTCAAACCCTGTGCTACACCTTTCCCAGGGCCTAGTGGAACTGCATCATCTGTTGTCATCAGCTGCCGAGGCTTCACTACTGGAATTCCTATGAAAAAGCAAACACCAACACTCATCCTTTTCCTGAAGTGGCTCTGGGTGCTATTCTAGTCTTCTGGCATTCCAGAGTAACAATTCTCACCAGTTGTCACCAATTTGGACTTATCCTCTTCATCACCAACTTCATCATCTTCCACATTTCGACCAGGAAAGAAAAATCCCATCATTCTATGGAAAAACTGGTGCGACAGCTGGATAGTGAGAGGCACCACATTCACCTGTGGGGAAAGAGATGAAGAAGCAGTTAAGCTCAAGTATTAGCCTTGTCTTTAGTTACTAACCAGTCTAACAGGTTTTAGTGTGATCTGCCCTTTGACCCTGGGTTCCCAAGGTACCGTTTACTAACCTCAAAGTGTTCCTTAACAGAGATACCCCCAACGGGTGGTCGGACTTTGCTGAAAAGGCGGAGGGCTAGCTGTCTCCCCGACTGGCAGGAACTCTGGGGCCGCAAAACCACCTATAAGGCAAAGCAAATAACCCTACTAAATGTCTTCTCTTTTTAAAAATCAACTTACAAAACAAAACAAATCAAACAGCCTTGCTAAGCTGGGCAAGCTCTACCATCTCAGATCACACTGCTTCCTATTATGAGTTGATATGAAAAAGCCATCACAAATACCCTTTGCTCTAAAGTGTGTAGGAGCAGGCTAGGAATGGGGAAATAAGGCCTGCCATATAGATGGGGGTGTAGATTAGTAGAGTGCTTGTCTAGAATGAACACGGCCTTGCCTAAATACCATCCTCACCCCCCCCCCAAATGACTTGCCTTATAGATAGCATTGGGGAGAAGATTGTTCATAGTGAACCAGCCCAACTCCAGGAGATGTTCTGCTGTGTCATCAGACTTATTCACCTATAGACAGACAGATTTGTCCTGTTCATTATAAGCTTTCCTTAGGAACTCGATAGAGAATTACTATATGTGCTAATCTAACCCCGATTTCATTTTTCTCCTTCTTCTTTAAATCAGAATCTCATAAGGCCTCGAACTGTACCTGTGGCTGGCTTTGAACTCCTGATCCTCTTTACACATCTAGAATGATGAGATTATATGCATGCACCATCACACCTTATCAATATCTCTTTCAATCGCAACTGTTACTATTTTTCCCTTTCTTGTTTGTTTTTTGTTTTGAAAGAGGGTTTCTCTGTAGCTTTGGAGCCTGTTGTAATATGAGTGGCGGGGCTATGTCCCCAGCACCCCGGCCGCCTGCTAGCTTATGCCCCGAAATAATTACACAGACACTGTATTCTTTTAAACACTGCTTGGCCCATTATATCTAGCCTCTTCTTGGCTAACTCTCGCACCTGGACTAGCCCATTTCTAATAATGTGTAGCACCGAGGTGCACTTACAGGGAAGATTCTAGCCTACATCCATCCTGGGTCAGAGCTTCATCGCGTGTGCCTCAGAGAGCAGAGCTCTCGCCTCTGTCCAGGAGAGGGGAGCATGGTGTCTCTGAGCTCACTTCCTCTTCCTCCCAGCATTCTATTCTGTTTACTCTTCCCACCTATGTTTTAACCTATCAGGGCCAAGCAGTTTCTTTATTGCTTAACCAATGAAATCAACAGATATATGACACTCCCACATCAGGAGCCTGTCCTGGAACTTGCTCTGTTGACCAGGCTGGCCATGAACTCAGAGATCCACCTGTCTCTGCCTCCTGAGTGGAGTGTGTACCACCACTCTCCAGCTTCAATCACATATACAATCTACAAATCTACAATCTTCAATCTCATATACAATCTACAATCCTCTAATCTAATGTTTCTCATGAATAACACCAGTTAAACCCCCAATTGTTAATACTTTTAGTTACTGTGACATTTAAATATCTCATTTATTTTCAAACATCCCTAGTAATAATATTTTTCCCAGTGCAGGACATTTGCAGAAATACTGTCAGTATCAGAATGGTACTATTCCAACTTGACTTAGAAAATTACTTCCCTCTGAGCCTTAGTTTTAAGAATAAACCACCCCATTGTTTTTTTTTTTTTTTAATTTATTTTTTTCTGGAGACAGGGTTTCTCTGTGTAGCCTTGGCTGTCCTGGAACTTGATTTGTAGACCAGGCTGGTTTCGAACTCAGGAGATCCACCTGCCTCTGCTTCATGAGTGTTGGGACTAAAGGCATGCACCACCCATCTAGGCTGATTAATTTTATCTATACACCTATCATTTATTATAGGTCAATGTGTCTCTAATCATGACCATCATTAATAACCATATAATTAGCCCTTTTATCTCTACATGGATTGAACTGTAATAGGTTAAGACCCAGGACTAGCCTGGCGCTGTATGACTGGGTACCCCAATACCTTGCTGTAGAGGAACCTTTGTAGCTCCAGCTCAGCGATTCCCAACTGTCCGTCTTCCTCGGTCAGGCGCCAACGTGCCTGAGCAAAGTAAAACTC